ATTGTTAGAAACATTTATTCTAGTGGTTTTTTTCATTTAATATATTATATGAAGGTGTATTAAATACATGACATCATCGTCTTATATAACTTTTACGAAAATTAAAAGAAATATAACAGCTGCAAAACATTGTAAAATACAAAGTTAAAGATTATGACAAGGTCAAAAATAAATTTATATGAAAAATAATGATTTAAATAACTAAGCCTCATTAATTAATAAACTTTGAGGATACATTAATAAACTTATCACTATTATTAATTATGATGTCAGTACTTTTATAAGATCTGATTATTAAATGCTTTTGAAGAAAAGTAGAATATTTTAGATATTAGTAAGAATGTTTACTATCACTCCTTATGTAATGCTTGAGAAAAGAAAATTTGAACAATGATATGTTGAGTGAGAAAATTTGAATGATAATATGTTGAGTAAAGAAAATTTGGACAATGATATGTTGAGTGAAGAAAATTTGGAAGATTATATATTGAATGAAGAAATTTGGACGACGATATGTTGAGTGAAAAAAATTCCGATGATGATACATTAAGTGAAGAAAATTTTGATAATGATAACTTAAGTAAAGAAAATTTGAATGATGATATATTAAGTGAAGAGAATTCTGAAGATGATGTGTCAAGAGAAGGTGATAGTGTATTTGGCAAAGATAGTTCTGACGGTGAAATTGTTGATAAATCATTAAATGCTGAGAAAATGCTATCTAATAATGGGGAATTTACACCATACTTTAAAAATATCACTAAGGTATTAATGTTTTGTTGGAATAAGAAACATAATATATATATATTAAAATAATTTGTCATTTAATCGTTACTTTTTTTTTATTTATTTTCTGTAAATATTTAATTGTTTATTTATTTATTTTTATTTTTATTTTTATTTTAATATTAGCTACCTGAGCATATGATGAATTAGTGAATATCATCTATCATCCGCAATTTAAAAACACAGATGTTGTAAGAAACATTAGACGATTTAGAAAATATAGACAAAGATTGCCCTTACTTCTAATTAAATCATATCAAATTCGTATTTCCAGTAAAAAAATGCTATCTACATCAAAGGAATCAAAAAAAGCATATTATTTTTCTATTTCGAATATTATTTAGCATCTACTTAACAACCCATCACTATTCAATAAAATATACTTTGGTCCAGGCCAAGAAGTAGCAAAAAGTTATGAACTCTGGTATGGTAAAATTTGAAAAAAATCACCAAGATTTGGGTGTGAGTCTGTTGCAATAGGCAAAGGTAATTTTTATATTTTAACTTTAAATTTTTGTTGTGATTGATGATGAAATCGGCTGTTGCTAAAATTTGGGGTTGTGATTTGAAAAATATAAGTACTGCTAAATCTACATATACTTTTTAATTACTAATTTTAACCCTAAATACTAAAAAAAGCAGGAAAAGATACACCAAAAATTTTTTTAAAAATTCATATCAAAATAGGTCCAAATTTGCATCAGCCGTGACAATTTTTATTAATTTTTTAATATCATCAAAAAGTAATTATATTTTATTTTATAGTAAAATATTATTCTGGAGACTTCGTAGTTTATAGAGAATCTACAAAAAGGATTGGTCGTATTTTGTCAATAGTTCAAAAAGATGATTGTTTTAAGATCAATATCCAATGCATTCTGATATTTGAAAGTTGCTGATAAGTCTGCAAAGCAATAGTCATAGTGAAAGATCATTGAGTAGTGAAGTATGGATGCTAGATCAAGAAATGAATAATGCAATTATTATTATCGAATTGCAAGCAATTGTCAAATATATTATGATCACAATATTGTATGATAGCAACATAAATAACTTTTCTTCAATAATAATCTGTGAAATATTATATAAGCACAATAATAAATGGAAATTGCAAAATGTAACTTATTCTTATCAGCATCTTTCAAACTTTGCTGCATTAAAAGAACATAATACGAATCTACCAATTTATAAATTGTATATAGATATTTACTATGATAATTTTGGGATATTTCGCAATATTTACCATTCGCTAGGTGGAGTTTATGTTTAGATAGGAAACATGTTCTTTGACCAATGAAAGCAACTTAAGAACCATTTTGTACTTAGATTTGTACCATTTGGTGGTTTATTTAATAAATTCATTAAATCTTTTGTTGCTGAGATGAAACATTTTGAAAAGAGAAAGATAATAGATATATAAGGTAATAAAAGCCTTGTAATTGCAAGTATTAGAAGTACAACCTCTGATTTGCCACAAGGTAATGATTTAGTTGGAATTAAAAGACATAATGTTACAAGGGCTGCCATACTTGTAGTACTAGAAAAAATTACTGGACGTCTGATAATATTGATTTGTTGATAAGCTCTCGTTATCAGCATTTAATGGCTAAACAATTTGTAAAGATTTCTTTAGCATCAACAATAACTAAATGCAAAAAAATCTTAACACAATATGGATTGTATCTGTACCCTCCGATGCTAAGTAAATTGTTATAGAAAAGTTATCTTCAATCACCACATGATGTTATCATGCAACAACCAGCAAAGTATTGAGGCTTCTTAAAATTACAATAGAAGCACTTTTGACAGAAGGACAATCAGCATTTATTACGATTTGGAAATCATTTGAATATTCAAAAAATTGGTCAAAATTGCTAAATCCAGTTTTACATATTGATAGTTTTATGATATCTGATTGTTTAAAATTGGCTATAATATTTCTTTTTATAATTCATAGATTATTAAAATCTCAGTATTTTAAGCAGTTCAAACTTTACAAATTGCAACAATGACTAGGTTTTTCATATAATGATTTGGCCATAAAAGCCTTGCTAAAGTATTAGATAATAGTATTGAAGACAACAAGAATTTTATTTAAAAAGTATTTTTCAAAAGAAGATTATAATGAATTGCGACAGTGCTTGAATAATAAACAGAAAATCTTAGTACAGGTATTACTAATTGTAGTTATTTTTTTGAACCTTATTGCTATTTATATATAGTAATACAAATTTAGTGATCAAATTTAGTATATAGACCCTTAAATACCGCATTGTTTGTTATTCAAATATATTAAAAAAATGGATATAATAGTGATAGAATTGTAAATGCTAATGAGAATTTAATAAATAAATTTCTCAAATGCGTAGAACTTCCGATGTCAAAAATAATACAACCAATAATTGAAATCAAATACTAAAAACTATCACTATTAGTATAATTGTTAATCTGTATATTGTTATAGATTGAATTTATTAAATCATATTTAATCAAATTATATTTGTTAATTATACTGTATCATATATTAATATTTTCTATGCATTTGGGTAATTCAATTATTAATTGCTCAAAAATATTCATTTAAAGGTCCATTACTAGATTAACTATGCGATATTTAAGAAAGTTTATAACGATAACTAAATTTGATTCTATTCTTGTACAATTATTTGAGAACTTCAAAAATCTTCCAAATTTGCATATCAATTTTTATATGACTCAACATGTTTGGAATTATGCAAATTTGTTGAATACTGGCATGGGAACAAAAGAAATAATGTACCAAATATTCAAGAATATTGCTCCACGAACAAATCGAAAGAACATAGATTTGGACCTATTAAAACACTATAATACATTGCTTGCAATATATCATTTACTAGATAGAGACGTAGATATGTATTTTTTATTGTCAAGAAATGGTTTAAACCTTTTACAAAATTTACAGTATTTAAAAAGTAATTGGTTTGTATTTGAGAAGCCCAAAAATATTGAGAATGATACAAATGAAGGTATGATTAGTTGTTTGAATAAAACAATAATTTTTTAATATATTAATTATTATAATCTATTCATTAGATAAATATACCAAGATTTTATTAAAAAAGTGAATCTCACGAAAAAATATTGAAGAGTCAATACTTTTAAATTTAAACGTACAATTGGAATTATTTTATGAAGATTTAGAATATTCATATCCAGCTTGGAATAATTCATTATTATTCTTCGAGTATGCAAGTTTTCTGATTGAAGAAAGTGGTACTTCTATTCAATGCTATTTACATGTTGAAGACGTTGTCTTAATTAATTCTGACAAAGAAGAAGAAAGTTTCTCAATTATATATTCAATATTTTGTGATCAAAAGGATGAACATAATACTACCTTCATTATTATTAATTGGCTTGAAAACACAAACCAAACGAAGTTAGATTGCCTGGTATACAGGCTACATACAACAAATAAGTAGCGAAGAGTTTTTCCAATTGATGTAGTCAATACAGTTAATACGATACATTTTGTACACAATTATAAAAATGATGAATGTATTAAGAGCAATCATAATCTTGCTAACGATTTGTATCTAAGAAATTTGTATTTTTTTAATTCTATTTAACGCTATACTAATATATAGTTAGAAATATGTATCTTAATTTATTCATACAATTAGCTATATGTATTCTAGAAAAATATTCTTTTTACTTTGTGACACTATACAAAAATATGCTAATAAAATATATGTAATAATTTGGGTTCTAACAAAACATATTTAGAGCTCCAGGCTAAGATTATATTATTACTCGACTAAATCAAATGGTTTGTTCAGTTAAGTCAATGTACAAATTGTCTTAACTACTAAATATAGCGCTCTACTAACATTTCAGCATTTGGAAAATAATCAATCATATGGCTTATCCACTGAATTTTTTTATCACAGTATCAGTGCGATTTTAGACTAGTATTTACCTGCATCTAGTTAATTCCAGTCATAAGTTACATGAATATTGGTATACAGATAAAACTAAATTAGATTACCGATCAGACAAAATTGGCACTCATTCTTTTCGTGCTTCAACTGAAATTTAAGATAGTAAAATTACTAGAGCAAAATGTTTCTATTTATTATTCTTTTGAGATATTGAGCTTAAATAAATTGTTTTATAGAAGACAAATTTGTTTGCATGTAACATATTAAAAAACTTCTATTTGCATAACTTTTACAACCTTTATAATCTAGATGCCAAACATGGCATTCTTTTGAACAATATTCTAAATTCTTGTTCAATTTTTTAATACTTCTTGAACAAATTAATAAGTATTAATAAGATGTAGATTCTCTAGCAAGCAAATTTACTAAGGCTTTCCTTTTTATTTGACAAGAAGTTTTACAGTGAGACAAATATTCTGATTTCTTTATACTCAAATTTTCTTAAAGATTGAAATCAATATTGACTTTTAATATGAATTCATTATTGTTATATTTTCATGCTAATTAGTATTCTCATACAATTAGTGCTCTCATGTAATTATACTATAACAGGTTTGATATAACGCAACTCAGTATATTGACAAGTTCATTAAAGAGCAGATAATTATCTGAGTCAAAAAAAAAACATGATTTTACTTCTATGAATTATTCTTTTTTATGCAAGAATTTATTTAATATATATTAATACTACTAATATTTTTTTTTTGCTTCACTTAGGCTGATCGTGCCAGTACCTTTATTTAATCAAGTGCCACTTGTGGAAGTGCATAATTATTAAAACTATAGGTCTGATATCCTGCGGTTACCTTGACCAACCTAACCGATTATCTAGTTCTACAGGTGACCTGCCGCACCAGAGAGGTACAATCAATTAAGATAATACCCTACTGGGAGCTCATCCAACCACTGCTCTACAATAGGATATTACCAATCTGATAACATCTTCTCGTAGAGAAGTGAAAGAAAAAGAAAAAAAACATATAAA